CTTTCCCTATCACAACTAAATTTATTTTTATCAAATTTTGAAAGTCTCACGTGCAGATTGATGTCACACCCGGTGCAATTAATTTAAAGCTGATCATTTTCCCTATATGCGACACGTAAACGAAGGCGCGTTGTAATTTATGACTCATCTTATAAAGAAAGAGAGAGAAAGAGAGGGATATATATATCGAATAATTCCGGTTTAATTAAATTTCTCAACGATAATCGTGACAGTTACGAAGAGCGTGTATCTTTTGCATGCCATCAAAATGCCAGTTACGTAAATCGAATCGCTCTTTTCCCGCCAGCAATGTAGCCTCTGCTGTCGCCGATCGACGGCCAATCGCTTACAACATCGGCGTATTTGTGACATTTTATTTGTGTGACATTTTTGTTGTTCGCTCGTGGCTATCGAGACATCTCGCCATCTTTTCCCTTTGTTAGTTCGCCACGAAATTCCCAGCGATTCCACGACATTTTATATACTTTGATCACGCTTTTATGCGCCCCGTAAAACTTGCTCGACCTCTGCCTCGTAATCCTCGTTGTCTAAAGGTTGACTCCAAGTTAAAAGGCTGAAATGTCGAGAGTATACCCGTCAAATTCTATTGTATCTATCTCGATCTATCCGCCTATTTTTCTGCCCACGCGATATTTAGCATTAAAAAAAAAGAGATGTAATTTTAAGATTACTATTAGATTCTAGAGTAACCGATCTATTTTGTAATTTGCGATATTACAATCTTCGTAGTAACAATATATCGAGCTTACTTTAACTTGAGAATCAATACCTTTTTGAGAAACTGGGGAATAGATAAATAATAACAGCAATAGGCTCAGAGTATAAACAAAAGTACATTAAAAATGTACATTTCGGATTCTTTTTTGGTTCATTCTCATTTAAATTTAAATTTAAATTTAAAAATTTGGATTGAATTTAAAAATTAATTAGTCTTGTCCCATTTGCCTTTTCCTACCATTTATGGTTTTATGACTTGTTTTTGTAATTTGTATTTCTAAATGGAGAACTTGTCAAAAATTCAAAAAAATTGATTGATTGAGAAACTTAAATTTGAATTTGATTTCAAAGTTTAAATTGTATTTAAAAATCAACTAAACTTATCGCATAATTACATTTTGTTTCTCTGTCTTAAATTAATTTTTAAAATTAATTAAGAAAAATTCTTCTTAAGTTCTTAAATTAATTTAGAAAAGATGAAGCATATTCCTGCGAGAATCGCGCGGAAAATTCCTCTTCGTTCGATGGAAGAAAAGAATACCGAATGAATCTGTTCATTTACGTATTTCTTCCGTGAAAGATGAACGATGGACACGCGATCTTCGCGATAATGAGTGATAAAAATGATTAATTAGTAAAAAATGATAAACCAAAATAAAGATTATTTTTATTTGATTAAATGTATTAAAAAATAAAAGAAAATTTTTTTAGATTAACAAATTATAATAGTTTATTTTTTAATAGTATATATTTTATACTAATCGAAAAGAGATTTTTTCATTAGAAAAAATTAGATCATAATGTCATTTAAAATTAGTTGAATGCAAGATTTAAATAAAATCAAACGTGAAATATTATATTTTATATTCTGTTCGAAAAAAAAGAATTACTGGTCCTGAAATAATCGGTGCGATAAATTGACGAGATGCATCTAGGAAAATTCGAAATTTATCTATTAGACGGGCATTCCGCTGTCCTATTAATGTATATTTATCCTCGGCGGACACACGAGAAGCCGCGCCAATCCGACAAGGTTAATGAGCCGCCGCGCCGCCAATCTTTATTCATGTTACAGATAAAAACGCGCGCGTACTAGTATTTCCTAGCTTTCTCTCGCCCGAATCACGCAACGCAATGATGCACTTTGAGCGACTTGTTGCATAAAATGCGACAAGATGTATCGATGCCTGAGAAACTCGCACGCAAGCCACACCTGTTTATATCCGCGCGTCTTTCAACCAGCTATACATTTTCCTCGTCAATCAATAGGTTTCGTTTTATATATCGGGACGAAAAATTATGTTCCGCCGTACGCGCAAGAAATTATAAATTCCTTTATAAATACCGTTCACATCTTTCATTTTATCACCGATTATAAGACTATTTCGATAAATTATATAAAATTGATAGAGATCAATATAATTCCTTTATAACTTTCTCCCTTATAAATTTTACATTAGACAATGTATACATTTGAAAATACTTAAATTTCCATATATTTGAATTAACTTATTTATGTTAACTTATTTTTTAATTCAACATCTTGCGAAATTTACATAAGTCCAAGAAACACGATATAAAATCGAGAGGAAGCTTACATAACAACTTGATATACTCGCGTCCTCTTTATTCTCTTTAATCGGCAAACGTCTATTAGTATGTGTGATACCCATTTATCTATCTACATATTTATATGTCAAACCGCCGGATTCTCGACGCCGACATGTGAAACACGACACGTGACACCAGATCGCGGACCGCAGATGCCACTGATTCGATACACACCCGGTAGTGGTCGAGTCGTTCGACGTTCATCTAGAAAACCGTTCGCGCGATATTTCGCCTCGCCAGATCTGTTTACCTGTCCAAGTCGCCTGACCGACTTGGATGAGTCGCTCGCCGAAGTTGACGTACCAGTCGGCCGATTAACTTACTCCGTCATCCAACGTTCGGTTCATTGAACCTCGTTTTTGCGAAAACAAGTGCCGCGCTAACAAAAAACTTGCACGCGTCGCAAAAAAGGCCGATCTCGAACAATAGAACGGGGGTTAAAAAAATTCCGAAGTGACCAAAGTTGTCCGAAGTTCTCCCCGGACAAGTTTCGATAGTATCAGCAATTCGCAGAGATATAAAAAAAAAAAAGAAAAAAAATATACGAGAAAAAGATGCAATGAATAATATCAGATCGCGCGATAGCTTATAAAAAATCGAAATATTCAGATTCCTCTCTCTGATTGCACAGAGGAGGGGCAACAAAACTGCTAACCTAATAAAGTGTCCGTCTGGAAAAATGTGAATCGCGTGGTGCACGCGAAATCTCGCCTCGTCTAGGAAACGAACGAACGCTGGCGAAGATCCTGTTACTCGCAGATGGAAAGTGAACTGCGAGGATTAATAGGCCGGACACACACATATAAGCGCGAATGTGGAAAAAAAAAAAACCGGAACGAGCGAATAATCGATGATCCGCCGAGGGCGATACACGAAGTCGGCGATCGGAGATCGCGCGACGCAAAATGATATTGTAATTCTTGCGCCATTTAAGCGGCCCTCATACGATCCGTATCGGGACATCGAACGTGCTCCGCGGTAAGATAATCTCTATTTCGAGAATAAAATTCGGCACCGTATTTATCACGCATAATTAAATAAAGTTTTGGGAAATAGAAAATTTTTACTCTTATGATAGATTTCTAGAAAATCAATATTTTTTATACTAGTTTCTAATATTCGATATTTCTTTTCATTAAGTTCGATATTAAAATTGCGGAAATTATATTATACATGACTCTCTTAATGCATTGAATTTAAGAAGAAAAATTATCGTTAATCGATAGGATATTTTAGATATTGATAAAATCGTCGTGTGAAGACCCCTTAAGACGCCAATCGGCCAAGTGTGCCAGACTTGCGAGGCCGCGGGTAAAAATGGGCCACGTATAAGCACGACATTACTTACGAATAAAAGCCTCCTCTTTATCTCTTTTTAATTTTATTGCCACGGAAAATTTATTCGGTAATATTCATCGTGTCATGTAATCTATTATTCAACAACAGAGATATTAAAATATATTTACAATATAATTGAATTTTATACATTCTATTTACTTCTATCAAAAAATTAGAAACTACATAAGAAGTGATTAATTAATTGCAATACAATAAAAATAATCATCACAGCTGTGATAAACGAGGTGCAAGAGAAAATTTAAAAAAAAAAAAAATTTTCGCGCTGATGAAGTGATGAAGAATTACTGCTGCATTGATTTATCAATAATTATCGTCTTTCATGCCCGGAGTGAACATATGATGCGCAGTTTATTTGCTCGTATATCAGGTACCGAAGATCATCATCGGACGTTATACGTAAGGTACACGCCCCCTCTTACGAAACCGTTAATCATATTTGTAACAATGTGATTTATGCTCACCGAGCATGGTCCAGATCTCTCTTGTTGCCGAGGAGGAGGGCAGTGAAGTAGGATGGCAGGCGTAGATCCGCGAGTTGCTTGAGGAGTCCGCGAGCTTCCTGAAAGCTGCGTTTACATGTCACGCTGTAGACAACAACGAAGGCCTCGCCCCATCGTATGTGCGAGTACAAACAGCCGTTCTCCTGAAACAATCGATGGAACACGACGACCGATTACTATGACAGTCAAGAATCGAGAATCGGATTTAATTTGACATATCTCCATTCGAATCTGTAGATATCTTAGCACGTTTACATGCAAGACATTCTATCCTCCTATATAGATGGTATCAGTAAATAGAAATCGATCTTAGATTCGAAATCCTTTCGCGCTCTAAAGTAAGATCGAAAGTTTGTAAGATTTATAGAAGATATATCATTAAAGATCTTAAAAATTTAATAAATTCGTAGAACTTTATCTGTTTAAAACTTTTGCATCTCAAAATATCGTATTTTTAGCTCTCGAAAAGAAAGAGAGAGAAAGAGTCAAAGAGTAGCATTTATTTCAAGCTACATTTATTTACGTACGCGAATAAAACTGTTTTTAATGACTATGAAAAAAAAATGTGTCGGAGACGAGCAGGCTGAAAATTCGCAGCGCGTTGATTCCTCAACTTGCGCCCGTAAATCTCAGCCGTCACTTAAACTGCCGCACATCCGGCGAGAGAGACTGAATTTTATAGACCGAGATAAACATATACCTCGAGGGGGGTAAGGGATTCGCGTGTTTACGGGCGTTATTTACGGTTAAATCTGTCGAATTAACATTGCGTGTAACGTGCTCGTAAATAAACGCCACAGGAATTCCGACAACGGCCAATACGCACCTTGCAACGCAATGTTGTAACGTCTTAAGAATTGTTGAATATCCCGCCGTAAAAAGGGGGCATCAAAGTTGATTGCATCGTATCAAAAATTACGCGATTATCCGTATAAAAATTCTGTTGATATTTAATGAGCGTGAATCATGATTCATGTAGCCTGAAATTTATGAATCTCATTTGAGTATTAAAATTACGCAACCTTTTAAGTTTTGCTACATGATATATTATATACAGTGTTCAAAAAAACCATTCAATATTTATATGTATACTGAAAAAAAAATTGTTAACTTGACTAAATCCGTTCAACTAATTACCATTTTTTTTAAATATTTAAATATTTAAGTATTTAAGTCAAATATACGTCATGTTAAATTTAATATGTCGTTTGTCTTAAATATATAAATATCTCAATTTAAAAAATGGTAATTAGTTGAACGGATTTAATCAAGTTAATAATTTTTTTTTTCAGTGTAGATAGGATACACCATATTGAGTACAAAAACCTTAGTAAACATAGGTCGAAAGCTCAACCGTTTTTGAGATATAAATTGAGATATAATTTTTGTATATTAGCATCATGATTGACTTACTGGCTTCTACGTGTTGCATGCGACGTGAGAAGAAGATAATCTATCTAAATCTTTATCTCGGTATTTACAGAAGGTGTTTCACATGTCCTCCTTCCATTTTCATACACGCTTGGCATTTTATTCTTACAGAATCGCAAACTTTCTCAAAAATTCCACGTCTCTGTCGAATTATTTGACAAGCACGCTGGATTCGGTCACGTAATTCTTCTGTCATTTATCGAACAATATATTATGCTTTTCAAATATCCCCAGAATAAAAAGTATAATCACTGTGTAATCACCAAATCGCAAAGATCCGCAATCGCCGGTTGATGACAACTGACTGATCGCCGGTGAAATCTTCTGTTATGAAATACGTATGGGAATTGAATGAGGCCATTCAAAACGCGGTTTATAAACACTGAGGTAAACATCGCATGCGAACATAGAAGCCAGTAAGTCAATCATGATGCTAACATAAAAAGATGTTTATATCTCAGAAATGGTTAAGCTTTCGACCTATGTTTATTAAGGTTTTTTTTTTTTACTCAATATGGTGTGTTCTATCTACCATATAAATATTGCATGGTCTTTTTTTGAACATTCTTTATATAATTATTTACATTTTTAAGATAAGAAAATTATATTTGTATATTTATCATATTTTATAAAAATTTATCTACCAAATCTTTTTATTTTTCGGAAAATGAGTATAATTCTTTTAATAAATATTTGTTTAAAAAATAATTAGAACATTTCAGTACGCGCAATAATTATTATTCGAAATCTTAATTATCATGTATACTCTCTGTGCTTTCCATTTGAATATACTTGCATATTATAAATTACGTGTTGTACATTATAACTCCGCTGTTGCACGACAGTGTGAGTCGTTAAATGAATTTTCATATAAATACTACGATAAGTGTACTCTAAGTACTTCATAACACGAACGTCTGCGTGAAACGGCTCGTGTCTGCTTTGATATTATTACTTAGACTTTTCTATGCGCGCAAAATTGAAATTTATCCCATATATCTTTTTAAGATCTGTCTTATCTGAGAATATTAAACGAGTACCAAATCTGTCGCGTAACCTCGATCGGGTAGACGTCATCGACGTAAAACATCGGCAGGCGTGCGTCTGTCGCGTCGTGTGAGACATGGCTCGAACCTCGCTCATAAATATTTATTAACCGATTGTATTCGAAGCAATCGAACGCGATGCCGGAATTGCGTTCACACATGTCACATGAGTGCATCAGCGGCGGGTTGCACAACGCCGACATGATCCGCCGACATGATCCGTCCAGTTATGAAATAATGCAGAACGTCTCTTGATTAAATAACGCTTTAATACACTTTGCGTCGTGAAAATACGTCGCAATTATTCATTAACATCATGCTGTCGCGGTTAAATATGATAAATAAGCAAGCTCATATATGTAACAATCCAATTTACATTTAATTTCGCTTATAAATAGACTTTCGTATTCAATTTATAATTTTAATTGATAATTTAAAATATCTCTTATAAATAAAATTAGAGTAAATGTATATATGTGTGTGATAAACTTCAATATATTATATAAATTGGATTAAAGACACACAAGAATTTTCTTATCTTAATTTATATAAATAACACAAATTGCAATAAAATTTATTAAAATATTTAAGTAAATTATATCAAGTCTACCATTTATAAACATCTCTTTCTAAGCTTTAGAAGATAAAAAATATGCAAAATTCAATATTAATTAAATTAACTCGATAATAAAATCGAAATTAAAACTTCATATTTTGTAAAACATTTTGTAAAAATGTTGAGAGTTATTAAGGCAAATAGATAGATAAAAATACATACAGTCATAGACTGTATATTTCGACCGGCGGTTTCTTTTAAACGACGCGACAGTTAACAGGACACCCGATAGGAACGATCGTCCTGTCCATTCGGAATCGATTCAAGTGGGCGAGAACCGCGCGCTTTAACACCTACGCGATCCCGCCGGATAAGCAACGATCGCTCCGTCGACGAAGTTATGTTCCTTCGTGTTCGTGGCGCAGATAACGATCCCAAAGGCTATTCGCCCTACGAATAGCGCCAATATTATCGGCTAATAATGCTCCCCGATTAGAAGACCGCATATTCTGCATAAACGGCATTCCGAGATCAGTGGATGCCCAGGTATCGGAAACCTTGAATTCCAGCATAATGATTCACGCTTATGGTTCGTGGAAAAAATATCTGCCAAGAATATCCTGCGCCTCATTTAACATTTAATTGTGCAATACGCTATCAAATTTTTATATAAATATAAGAATGAAGAAAATATGTAAAATAAAGACATGATATAATTTGACTAATTATAATGTAGGGATATTCAATGATTTAAGCTCAAGTTAAGAGAATAAATGTATTAGAAAAAATTCATTATAAAATTTAGTTTATTGGATAAAAAATAAATGAATTAAATTTAATATTGATTAAGGGTATAAAATATAAAATAATAATTGATGATAATAGTGCAATTAAAGTAATATTCTAGAATTTTATTATCATCTAAATAAAAAACTTTGCTTGATATAAAAGAATTAATTATATTGAGAGGGAAAAGACTGGATTCAATTATCTTACTTGTAATATTTTTGTAAAGAAAACTGCATTGTGATCTTGGAATTCGGTTTCATGTAGAATAATTTCAAATTATTAACGCAATTCTGATAACATTAAATTTCGATTTTTGTTTAATTATATTTTTATCTCAACGTGTTATCCACATATTTTTTTAAAAGATTCTCGCATATATTTCCGAGTAATTTCTCCGCTTTTCTTACAGCACGTAACCGTTCCAGAAGGGTATGAATCGAGGTAGAACTATGAACGTGTCTCGAGGTGTAGGATCTTTTCTTCGCGCGACAATGCATGTTTCCACGAAAGCGACACCAACTAATCCGACGCCGCGGGATGTCGCGTTATTGCCTGGCCATTGACAATGAGTTACAGTGTTATTACTTGTAGTTTTACAACGATAGAGTTCCTACCGGGTTCGCCCCTTGGCAAAGATAGAGGTAGAAGGAGAGAGAGCTAGCAGTAATTTATGGACGATGAAACGAGCGACGACCACCCCGAGTTGAGAAGAGTGAAAAGTAACGATATTGTAATAAACTAAATTATTGCTCTAACATTTTGAAATTGCGCACTATGATCGGGGATGTATGTGGGAAAGATTATGTGTGGACAAGTTGAAAGCAAGTATTTAATTATGGTATTTAGTTGTATTTTTCTTACAGGTGCGAATAATCATTAATTCTGTTGTTTAAATCAACTTTTATTCGTCTGATAAACGTTTCGCGCATAAATACTACTACTTTAAGTATTGCGCACCTCATCTCTCCTTTTGTTTTCCGATACGATAACTGTTATTCTCTCGAAGAAACAAGGAAAGCTATACACGTATATATAGCCATGGTAGTCACTTCGAAAGATACTCGGGATACATATGTATTGACGTTTACGCGGTTCTTGTTTGCACACATGTGTACCATGGAGGAATTAAGATAAGCCGACAATGGAATTTCAATGTCGATCCGAAACTTCGTCATCGAGCTCGAAACCGAGTATCGTTTGTTGGCATACCGCGGGTGTAACGGCTCGTAGAATCATTTTTAGAAATTTCTGACAATCATAAAAATGACGCAAATTAATTGAAGTAAAGAGAGATAAAAATTATTAAATTAAGACGTGTATA